GAGGAGGAGGGAGGAGGGTCGGGGCGGTCTCAGTCCCACCTGGGGCGAGACGCCTGCACGCCTTCCTGAGCCCACCTCCCAGGAGGCCCTCCTCTCCAGGCCCTGCCCGCTCCCTGGGAGGGTCTTCCTCCAGACCTGGCCCCAGCCCCGCGGTGGTGTTCCCGAGACGGGGGGCGGGCCAAGCGTCGCCCTAGACCCCAGAGAGCTTGTCTGCGGGACTGACCTCCAAGGCGGGCATGACAGCCGCCCCACTCACCCCCTCGGCTCTGGCCAGGAGGGTCCAGGGAAGGGCGGGCAAACTTTTCTGCAAAGGGCCAGATTGTTAACACGATAGACTGTGCCACCTATGTGGTCCCGTCATAATCAGCAAGGAAGCAAAGACTTATTTTTTTAAAAAGTAGAAACCGGGTCTCTGTATGTTGCCCAGGCTGGTCTGGAACTCCTGGGTTCAAGCAATCCTCCCAAAGTGCTAGGATTACAGGTGTGAGCCCCATGCCCAGCCAATAGATGAGTAATAAGCCAGTATGGGGATGGGGGACTGGGTTCCGATAAAACTGTACTTATGGATGCCGAATTTGAATATCATATCATTTTCACGTGTCCCGATATATTGTTTTTATTTTGGTTTGTTTCAACCATGTAATATGCAACAACCATGCTTAGCTGACAGACTGTGTGAAAACGCGGGGCGGGCTGGGCGGCTGCCACCCTGCCCCCACCCCACCCCACGCACGGCATCCCTGCAGCTTTCTCCCAGGCTGTGTGTGAGGAAGAGGGACGGGGTATATCTGGGTGCATGGGAACCCTCCTATGTAGGGGTATCCAGAAAGCCAAGGACCTGCTTGTGACCCTTGCTAAAAGCCTCTCTTGGGACTACAGCCCCTCTTGAGGCTTCCTTGCCGATTGTGACGGGACCACGTCCTCGAGGCTAGTAGGAGCCTGCACCCCAAGTGTGCGCCCACGTGAGGGAAGAGGCATATCTCAAAGGGTTTTCCACCCAGCATGTGCCTGGACCTACCCGACCCAAAGCAAGTCACAGTCACGGCAGCCACACCCCTCCCCCAGCGAGTGGCCAAGCCCTCTCCGCCCCTGCGCCACCCTCTTTCCCCTCCGCCACCCCTACTGCCTTGGTCTCCAGGCCGGAGCCGCTCACTGATCCGAGCTGGCCCTCCCATGCCTTTATTTTCTCTCTCGCAGCCTCGGAGGACACCTTTCTCCGAGACCTTGGAGCTATGACCCTTTAGAGGTGACCCAGGAGAGAAGGAATGCAGACCGCCGGTCCTCCCGAAGGGGGCCCCCGCCAAGGACTCGTGGCCTCTCGCATTGAGGCTTACGGGGGCCGGCATCGGGGCCCTGCCCAGAGCACTGCGGGCAGTCTCTGTCCCCAAGAAGGCCCTGTGCGGGTGAGTCCAGGCTGTGCCCTGAAGGTGACCTGGGCGGGGCAGGAGGGAGGACCCAGCTGTGGAGTCTCCGTCCCCTTACAGGTTCATGGCTGCTCTATTCCTGTCCCTCACCCGACTCTTCTTTCCTGGGATGCGGAGGAGGGGAGGGCAGTGCCAGGCTCCCAGGATGTCGCACCCCAGTCCCAGACATTCAGGGCAGGGGAGGCAGAGAGCCAGGAGAAGCCAGGCCCACAGGGAGGTGCTGTTAGACAGGTCTCTGGTTCAGGGCTGCGGGCTGGCACCTCCCAGGTTCCCGCCTCTCCTTGGCTGGAGTTTGAGGGCTCCCTGAAACCTGTCTCCCTCTGAGTCAGGACTGAGGAAGAGCAAAGGTTCAGGGCGGCCTCAGTCCCAAGTGGGGAGGGTGGGGCGCCTGCCTTGGCTCCACCCCAGCCCCGCCCCCGTGGCCCTCCTCCAATCCTGGCGGAGGAGAGGGGTGTGGAAGCCCGCATTCTGACGTGTCCCGGAGGCTTCCCCTCCACCTTGAGGACAGTCCTGCTTCTGGCTGAGGGTATCCCGCTGCCTCACTGGGGAAGAATTTGGCCCTCAGAGGCAGGGACTCCCCCAGGCTGCGGGCGGGAAGGGAGAGACTAGGAAGCCTGTGGGGTAATTCAGGCCACAGGCAAATGGAGGAATGTGACCAGGCCTGCCCGGGAAGGAGGCTTGTGGCTGTGGCCTCAACCTCTCACACGGCAGGACAGCCGCTCCCAGCTGGGTGGGACACTGGCCACACACCCCTGGGGGGGAGGTCGCCCATGTGTGTTCCCGCGTCCCGTGTGAGGGAGGCTGGTCCCGGACAAGGGGAGCGTGAGGGAGCCGCGCCGTATCCACACAAGCCCCTGTGCAGGGAGCGGGACCCACGGCGACACCCGCCAGCACCAGGCCTGTGTGTGCCTGCACCCCGGCTCTGCAGGAGGCTCTGCCTCTGCCCCCAGGCGCAAGCGGGGAGCCGGGCGGCATGCCCCTGCCCACTCTGCTCAGCCTCCCTGGCAGCGGCCACGGTGACTCAGGCAGGAGCAGCCCACACCAAACTGGTTGGAGGGTAGGGGTGAGCCAGCCCGCTGTACCGGGCGGGGGATGGTGTGTAGACCCAAACCTGGCCACATGCCCTCTGTGGGACTTCTAGGGAAAGGCACGCACTCCCAGAACCTCCTCTGCTCTTCCTCCAGGATTTCAGCCGCCGCCTCCAGCCCTATGTCCACTTTGCCAAGGGTTCCCGAGGCCTGTCTCCCATGAGGCTGCGGGAACCAGAGCCCGAGAAGAAGCCTGGAGGCCACTGGGGGGCTGGCCCACCTTACTCCCCCAAACTCAAGGTACGAAAATCCCTCTCCTGGCTTCCCCATGTGCACGGCCCAGGTCCAGGAGACCAAGCACAGCTCTGTTGGGAGACCCTCTGAGAGATACACCTCTACTCGGGTCATGCACCAGAGCCGGTGACTTTGACTCAAGACATTCTGATGACGTGTGAAAGATAAACTATTGCCGGGCATGGTGACTCAAGCCTGTCATCCCAGCACTTTGGGAGGCCGAGGCGAGAGGATTGCCGAGCTCAGGGGTTCAAGACCAGCCTGAGCAACATGGCAAGACCTCGTCGCTACAATAAATCAAAACAAAAATAAGCCAGGCGTGGAAGCGTGCACCTGTAGTTCCAGCTGATTGCAAGGCAGAGGCAGAAGGATTGCCTGAGCCCAGCAGGTCCATGAGTGTGCCGCTGCACTCCAGCCTGGGTGACAGAGTGAGACTCCCACTCAAAAAAAAAAAGAAAAGAAATTACCAATGAATGTGGGAGCCAGTTCCGTACCCTCCATCTCCAAGTCCCATACCATCCTTCACCACAGTGGCGAGCCCAGCCCTACCGGAATGGAGTGGAGATTGGGAATATCCATTGTCCACATTACTTGGTTCCAAAAACAAATGGCAGAATGTAAGCCACCTCCTTCATAAAATGTCCAACGTTACCTGAGACCACTGGTTGTCTAAGCTCTGTTCTGAGCACCACTCGAAGGTCCCTGCAAAGGGTCTCATTCCATCCTTCCTCCACCCCCCGTTCTGAATCAGGTGACCCCTGGAAGGTTTCTTTCTGGTCAGGGAGCTAGAATAGACTCCTTTATGGCCACATTCCAACAGCTCCTGCCCCCAGGCCTCCGTGTCCCCACTCATACCAAGTGCCACTCGCCACCTCCCATCCCAGACATGCACACGCGTGCACACACACACACACACACACACACACACACACATACCTCCCGTGAGCGTGTGGCCAGAACCAGTCCCCTTCTTGCAGTCCCTGCAGGATGTCGCCAAGGCCCCCAGCCTGGAGGTGAGGCTGCACGTCTTCAGCATGTTTGGGATTCCTCGCCTGCCCCCCGAGGACCGGCGGCACTGGGAGATGGGAGAGGGTGGTGACAGTGGCCTGGCCATCGAGAAGTCCTGGAAGGAGCTGGTGCCCGGGCACAAGGTGGGCTGGAAACGGGGTCTGTCCCCACGGTGTTAAGGCACACACACATTCTGCTCTGGAGGAGGGAAAGGCCCCGGGAAGGGGGGGCGTGTGGAAAAAGCACTTGGAGACACTTTGATCTGAGTTCAGATCCTGGTTTTGCCCCTTGTGAGTGAGACCTTGGTCAAGACAGCCAAGCTCTGTGGGCTTCGGTCACCTCCTAAGTCAAATGGAGATGATGCCACCTACACACCAGAGGCTTGGTGTGAGGTTGAAAGGCCATGTCCAAAGTGCCGAGGACCTCGGGCCTGGGTCCAGCAGCACTGACTCAGTGGCACCTGCAATTCTTGTCATCACCTCCGACTCAACTCGTGCTGTCCGCATCCCAGGAGATGAGCCGGGAGCTTTGCCACCAGCAGGAGGCACTGTGGGAGCTCCTGACCACCGAGCTGATCTACGTGAGAAAGCTCAAGATCATGACCGATGTGAGCCTCCCTCGCCCAGCCCCGGCCCCAACCCAGCCCTCACCAGGCTCCCTTGCGTGAGCTGCCATTGTCCCAGACCAGGGGGGCGGACCACTGGGGGAGGGAGGGACAGGACTTCAGGCCCACCCAGGAGCTGGGCAGCAAGGTGGGGGTGACACTGCAGGGACGGCTGGGACTCCGGGAGGACGGGGGTCAGGCGTGGAGACCCTCCTTTCTGCCCTGCTTCCAGCTCCTGGCTGCCGGCTTGCTGAACCTGCAGCGCGTGGGCCTGCTGACCGAGGCGAGTACCTGCTGGATGGAGCCTGGTACCCCAAGCTCTGAGCCAGGGGTGGGGGGACACAGAGAGCCCTACAGGCTGCCCAGCCTGAATTCCCACTGCCCCGTTCTCCGGGACACTCTGCCCTTCCCACTCCCCTCGGCTCTGGACCCCAAGCAGACCGCCAGAGTGCCACAGATGTGGAAAGGAAGGCCAGAGCCCCGTAGGCCTTCCAGGCCAGTGGTCTCCCGAGCCCCGCCGTCCAGGCCAGTGCTGTCTGACGGCACCAGCTACACTCATGTTGCCAAGTTCTGCTCCCTCGTCCAGGTGTCAGCTGAGACCCTATTTGGAAATGTCCCCAGCCTGATTCGAGCCCACCGGAGCTTTTGGGAGGAGGTGCTAGGGCCCACCCTGGAGGAGACCCGCACCTCGGGCCAACCCCTGGACCCCATCGGCCTGCAAAGCGGCTTCCTGATGGTGAGGCTTGTGACGGGCCACGTCCGGCTGGGGCATGTGTGGGAGAGCCGGGGATGGAAATCCTGGCGGTAAGCCATGCCATGGGACACGAATCCCTGCGTGATTTGAGAGGCCCGTGGGGCCTGGTCCCTGCCCCAAATATCACCTCAGCTCCCACTTTTCATTCCACAAGTTGGGCCTCCGTGTCAAAGGTCCTGTGGTCTTCTGGAGGCCCTTGTGGAACGAAAATGTGGCATCTCGGGGAAGGCTTTTGCCCAAGTTCTCACCAGAAATGGAAGCTTGAGTCTTGGGCAGAGATCTGGTGACAAACAGCTGGGTGCAAGCAGGGGACCGAGGTGAGGGGACCCTTCCCTCGGGGTGGCTGGGAGGTACGACAGGCCGCAGGGGCACCCCGAGGGGAAGAGTGACAAGAGAGGGCAAGAGGCCGAGGATCAGACTTCCCTCCACCGTTTTGCCCGGCCGGGAAAAGGCTTCGGTGGTGTCAGGAGGTGGGGGGACAGTCTGGGAAGCTGAGGCACCCCTCGGCAGGAGCAGGGCTGTGAGCAGCCGCCTGGGTCCCCACCCTCCCCTCAGGGTGAAACGGGATCTACAGTGTCCTGGAAACCAGCCGGCTGAATTATTGATGGAGGGAGAGCAGGGCCAGCCGCGCTGCGGACGGAGGGAGCTCAGGGGGCCGCCCTGGGTCCAGCTCAGGACCTCACTCAGGCTCCTTCTGGAATCCCCAGAGAGCGGCCTGCCGTGAACACAAGCATGGGAGGGAGGGAGGGACTGCAGACGCCGGGCTGGGGCCTGTGTGAGGCTCTCTCCCCGCCCGCTCCCAAGTGCTGCAGCCAGGGCCCGCATCCGTGACCTTCCTCCCCTCGCCTGTCCCCACCCCCATGTCCACCCGCCAGTTTGGCCAGCGATTCCAGACCTACATCCAGTACTGCCTGCGGGTGAAGCAGACCATGGCCTACGCCCGGGAGCAGCAAGATACGAACCCTCCCTTCCGCGCCTTCGTGCAGGTAGGAGCGGGGGTGCCGGGAAGGGGCTGGGCGCGCCTCAGCCAGCTGGACACCCCCGGTCCTGCTGGGTCCGAGGCGAGCTGGGAGTCCCCCGCGGGCAGGAGGGAGCCTGCCGAGCCCTGAGCCCGCCGCTCCCGCAGTGGTGTGAGAAGCACAAGCTCTCGGGGAGGCAGACGCTGGGCGACCTTCTCATCAAGCCCCAACAGCGCATCACCAAGTACCCGCTGCTGCTCCAGGCCGTGTGCAAGAGGACCCCGACCCCCCGGGCCCGGGAGGCTCTGACGGCCATAGTGGGCGCC